CTCGCCGGCGCGGCTGACAATTCGACTGCCACGTCATCGATAGACTCTAAAGGAGTTTCATAAGTAAACAATCGGTTTATTTGGAAATTAAATCAATAAAAATGGCGTCGTTACCGATCGGTGGAGGAGCGCGGTCACTTGTCTCGACCACTTTCTCTCATGCATATTGAGAGCGGCCTGTGCGCCGATTTTGGCTGCTTTCCCGGCGACGTGTGCGCAGGCGGTAGGCGGCCCGCGCGGCACAGCGCGAGCTGTAACCGCGGCCGGTGTAGGTAGGCAAAACTCCGTCCTCTTGCATCAAAGCTAGCTTGTCCGCTATTTAACGAGTTCGATGAACGTTTTGCAGTATTGGCCTCTCTACCTAATGCCAGAGGAAGCTTTGAGATGTGATAGTTAATGATTTTTTACTCGTACATGTAGAGGGAGCAATGTAACAGCGGTTCATTAGGACAAAGGACTGTTGTGGATTGTTGTCAATGTAGTCTCATTCGGATAGCATTCGGGACGGAATTGATAAAACTAGGCCCACTAACACCACGACGCAATATAGTGCTTAAACCCTTTTGTAGACAGACTTAATTACCTGATTAATTGCTTAAGACATATTCCACCGAAATGAGTAGGGGAGGCCTGTAGTGAGCACTGTGAGTGCGGCATCACTATACTGCACGAGTTGACCAAATACTATACTAACAAATATACCTATTATATTTCTGCTACTTGACCCCATTTTGTCGCTTCCACTGTCATTTGACATAAAGTGACGTGTCATGTTACAATTATTTGTATAGGAGTAATTTAATTGATTGCTTTGCACTATGACCTTTGCACTGTCATCAGTACTCGCCATGGGCCATGCCACACAGTGAGCATTTGTCGACACACAGAAAAAGCCAGACAAAGTTTCGCCTTTAGAGAGACGAAAGCTCTCTTCTATCTATATATATGTATATGATAAAATTGAAGTAAAAGAAGAATTCCAGATTTCGGGAAGATGATATATTGCTGATAACGAAAATCGCATGTTGTCGTCGCAATTTTAGGGATGTTTGCCCGTCACACGCACACGTCGCACACGACGCACGGCATACGGGGCACACGCTACACGTCTTTACAGCTACATGGCCACACGGTGGTCCATCCTCACTTAGCTTAATTAAGTATTATATTTAAATATTCACTATGAAAATGTATCATATGATGACGGTTTTTATAGTACAAGGTGAAAAATGATCAAACGACCACCGCAAGTGGTGAAAACAGCGAAGCGACCGCTGCCCATAGACATACGCGCTGGCACATGCATTGGAGCATTGTAAGGAATTTATTTATATATGTATATGTTTGAAATAAAATTGTCTATCGGTGTATGAATATAACATCACGATCGTTTAGTTGTATACTCGTACATGGGATGTAACTTTTACAAATTGTAAATGGTTTCTCTAACCCAATCACGGTCATCATTCACTTGCCATATTTTTATTTAAGAGGCGAGAAGATGGAATCACAAGTGTTTACAATTGATTCTGTTGCAAATTGGGTAACAAGCCATCGATAACACATAACTCGCTACAAATATTGAACCCGACTTGATATATCATAAGAGTAGCCTCCCCATAGCAACAGCGACTGACTACCTCGTTTGCTACCTCCTTCGTTTTAAAAACTTTAAGCGTTAGGTTATTAAATTAAACCTAAAT